TTTTCCCTCATGGCTTCAGTTAGAAAGGAAGACACATTCTGGAAGTCATGCTATTTTTTTTTAACTTTCACATGTTTACCAATAAAGCCAGCCTGCATCATAATAGTGAGCACCAAAAGAATGTGGCCATAATGGTGAATTGTGAGACTTGTCAACTGAAAACCATTTTGTAAGTGGTTCAGAGAGAGAGCGAACAGAGGGAGAGCGATTAGCTTAATGAAAACCTACTAGAGGATGAAACCTTGTACTTCAGAGCCAGAAGGATAACAGATGGCAACCGCATTAAAGAGGATTTAATCTACGAGAAACCAGATTTAGGCTATTTCTGGGTGGGAAGAGGGAGAAGCGGAGAAAATAAAAAGGAAGACAGAGGAAGAATTAAAAGAAGAATGAAAAGCAAGCAAAAGAAGAAAAATGCAAGAAATATTAGGAAGTTTCTTAATAAAGATATCCCAACCTTTCCTTAAAATGGCAGAATTTTTCCATCCTGCTAGTTACCATAAATTATTAATGTCCTAGTCTATGACATCTGATATTGGCAAACATTGCTACTAACCCACATGTCATTCAGTTTTAGCTCCTTTGGGCTTTATCATAGGTACCGTTAGATTGTGGACTACTTGTAAACAGGGACTGCTTTTTGCCTTAGTATCCTCAGTTTAACAGAGTAGGCTTTTAATGAATGCTTATGGATTGAAGTCGACAGGTACTGTTTGCAGGCCTGAGGTATCAACTACTAATTTAGGCAACATGGATCAGTTAGTCTATAAACATTTATTAAGTTGCCTCCTGTGTGCCAAGCACTGTGCTCAGGGCTAGGGATAAAATAACAAAGCAAAAAGATAATGCCTACCCTCAAGGAGCACACAGTCTAGTGGGGAGACAAAAAACAAACGAATACATACAAACAAGCTATAACAAGATAAATAGGAAAATAACTAAGAAAGGGAAGGAGTTAGAATCAAGAGGGGTTGGGAAAGGCTTCCTGAAGATAGAATTTTAGTTGGGACTTAAAGGGAGCCAGCAAAGTTATGAGTGGAGACGTGGAGGAAGAACATTCCAGACACAGGTGAAAGCCAGTGTAAAATGCCTATTTCCTCCCTCAGATGACAAGGGCTACTTATTTCTCATAGGAATACAGACCTATGATTTCAAAGCCACAGGGGACTCTGAGGAGAGGAAACTCCCAGGTTAGTACTTTCTCTGCCACATTCTTAGAGAATTGCCTAGAGCAGCTGATCTGTAGCTGCGTACCGAATTTCAAAGCATAATTATCGCAGATTTTATGCCAAAATTTTTTGCAAAAAAGTGGGGTGCGACCATTATGTAAAGCTTTTAAAAAATTGTACCAGTATTCCTTGTCTTTTACTTTCCGCCAGTCTTGCAACAACTTTTTACTCAATGAAAACTGTCTTTCCACAGCTCTGTTTCCATGCAGTTTAACAAACACAATCACTTTCAGCTTGAAGACCACAGGATAGTTTTTATATTTACCCATAATCATAAAGAAATGTTTTGCATGTTAATGTATTGCTGGCAGACGAACTATACAGTTTAGCTAGTACAGGAAGATGCAAGTCTTACCATATCATGTGACTTACTCATGGCAGCTTTGCCTATCCCCCAGCTCCCCTTTCGTCTATGGCTCTTCATTGGTTTGAGTGACAATACCCTTAGTACTGCAGTGCTCAAACCATGCAAGTCAGCTTTCAGAAATATACTGACAATGCATATGTGCTGAGAATTCGAGCCTTGTGGCTTGCAATGCGTGAGAAATAAATGCATATCCATATGCCACTGGTGAATGCATTGCTACTCTGTTTACCTTTTAAACTGCATGAGGAACAGAATTATGCCATGCAATGATTATGCGATGAAAGGTTATAAACCAATTTTTGGACTGGAAGAACAAAACAAAACAAAACAAAAACCACCAGATTGTGATGATTATGAGGTGAAATATGGTATTGACTTTAAATGTAATGCTGTCTGTTTTATTTTTTATTTGGTTAAATATTTCTCAATTACATTTTAAAAGGAGCTATGAGGGGCTGCTTGAGATGAGGAGAAAGTGCATTGTAAGCATGGTGTGGTCTGTACAAAGATATGGAGACGGAGATGAAATGTCAAGCATGTATGAAGTGCATTAAGCAGGCCCAGATTGGCTAGAATAGAGAGATCATGGAAGGGAGTAATAGCAATACATTAAGCAAAAAAAATTTTATTAAGTGCCTACTATATACCACGTACTGTGCTATGAGCTGAAAATACAAATACAAGGAGCGAAACAATGTCTACTCACAAAGAGCTCACATTGTAATGGTGAAAACAGCAAGTAAAAATATGTGTATATGTTTTATATGCATGTAATATGCATATACACAATGCACCATATGATACCACGTTGTATTGTATGTAACACATGATATTAATCATTATATTACATGTTCTTATATGTCACATATCACACACAAACGTGTACACACATTTAAACACACACATGTACATACATAAATATATACATATGTGTCTACATATACACACATTCACATGTGTATATAACATATGACATACATCTTTTAGAATCTAAGATTCAAATCTCCTTAATTCAAATCTCCTTAATTCAAATCCCCTGGGTTGAGGACCTAGAGAGCCACATGCGGCAGGTTCTCCACCCCTGTCCTAGATAAACTGTGGATAGCAACCCACATGGGGTTGTGACCCACAGTTTAAAAAGTGCTAAAGGGGTTCTGAGTGGAAAAAGTTTAAGAAACCCTGTACCTAGAGTATGTGTGTGTATGTATATGTACACACACACACCCACATACACACACATACACATACACACACACACTGTACTAGAAGGTAAGGTAGATTGGAACCCGACTGTGAATGATTCTAAAAGCCAAACAAAGAAGATTGTATTTTATCCTATAGACATGAAGAAGTCCAGAAGCCGCTTGGAACTTCTGGAGTGAGAGAGTGACATGGTGAGACCTGTGCTTTAGGCATATCACTTTGGGAGCTGGGTAGAGAATGTATTGCAGAGAGAAGAGACTAGGGGCATGAAAAGCAATTAGAGTTCAGGAGAAAGACTAGGAGTAGATCTACCCATCTACTGGGTGAATTGGATTTAAACGAGGCAGAGTTGTAGGAAGTTGTCAGCCTCACTCTCTTCCAGGGTCATCAAAGTCTAGTGGCAGGGCAAAAATCAAGAAGACTGGCAATGGCTTGGGATGTAGTGGATGACTTTGGCGTTTTTGATGTCTGACCAAGGTCTAAGAACTCCGCAGCACCTGTTTCAGCTGCCTTCATGGCTGTTGGAACAAACTGTTCTCATTCACCCATTCTGATGGGGGAAGTTTTCACACACTTGCGGTAGACATCTGCCTAACTCACTAATAAGTCTGAGGCTTCTCAGTTACCCTCAACCTGGTTTAGCCCCTTTTCCTAGACCAGTGTATGGCTGCTGGACATGCTACAGCTTCTTGGAGCCACAGGTGAGAGTTGGGTGAAAGGTAGACACCAAAGGTGAATGAATAGTTCTGAAGAGGGCTTGGCACAAACCCTTACAACAGAGGTGCTAGTCCTCCTGGAATACCCCATATATCCCAGGGAACTTCTAATATCATTGAGAGTATATAGAGAGATAAGGGGTGAGGCAAAGATGATGATCCTTCAAAGGACACTGGCCTATCCATACAATGAGTGAAATACTACTGTGCTGTAAGAAATAATGAGCAGGTTGATTTCAGGAAAACATGGAAGAACTAGCATGAAATAATGAAGAATGAAATGAGCAGAACCTAGAGAACACTGTATACAGTCACAACAATATTGTTCAAAGACTAAATGTGAATGACTAAACTATTCTGAGTCATATGAATATTCAAATACAAAGGACTTATTAAGGAAGATGCTATCCACTTTCAGAAAAAGAACTGATTAATTAAAATAATTAATTGATTAATAAAAATATCAGTTTCCCCAATTGATAAGTGGTCAAATGATATGAACAGGTAGTTTTCAGATGAAGAAATCAAAGCTATCTATTATCACATGAAAAAATGCTCCAAATAACTAATAATTAGAGAAATGCAAATTAAAACAATTCTGAGGTACTATTTTACACCTATCAGATTGACTAATATGAGAAAAGGAAAATGATAGATGTTGGATGTGTGAAAATTAGGATACTAATGTATTGTTGGTAGAGTTGTGAAGTGATCTGACCATTCTAAGGAGCAATTTGGTACCATGCCCAAAAGGCAATCAAATTGTGCATACACACAACAACAATTCAGCAACACCTCTACTAGGTCTATATCCTAAAGAGATCATAAAAAAGATAAAAGAACTTACATGTACAAAAATATTTGTAGCAGCTCTTTTTGTGGTGGCAAAGAATTGGAAGTTGAAGAAATGCTCATCAGTTGGGGAATGGCTGAACAAGGTGTGGTATATAAATGAAATGGGATACTACTGTGCTACAAAAAATGATGAGCAGGATGATTTCAGAAAAACCTGGAAAGACTTACATAAATTGATGCAAAGTGAAGTGAGCAGGACCAGGAGCACATTATATACAGTAACAGCAACATTGTACAATGATCATCTATGAATGACTTAGCTCTTCTCAGCAATACAATCAATGATCCAAGACAATTCCAAAGGGCTCATGATGGAAAATATCTACATCCAGAGAAAGAACTGGTGGAATCTGAATGCAGATGGAAGCATACTATTTTTACCTTTTTTTTTCACATTTTCCCCCCTTTTGGTCTGTTTCTTCTTTCACAACATGACTAATATGGAAATATGTTTTGTATGATTACACATATATAATCTATATGATATTGCTTACCATAGGGAGGGGAGGGGAGGAAGTGAGGGAGAAAACTTGGAACTCAAAATTTTTAAAAAATGAATGTTAAAAATTATCTTTATGTGTAATTGGAAAAATAAAATACAATTTAAAAAAACAAACAGACATTAGTTACCTTAGAAAAAGCAGCTTCTGTTGAATGATGAGGTGAAAAGCCAGAATTTAAGCGCCTGAAAAATGAGTACTAGGTGATGTTATAACAGCTGTTATTTCACCTCTAAGATGTGCTCCCTCTTCTCCATTCAAGTAATGAATGACCTTTCCCTCATCTGAAATCATGGGACTTTGTACCTCTTTTTGTTAGTTATGCTGTAATTCCTGTCTTATTACCTTTATTAGATTGTAAACTCTTTGAGATCAGAGACAATATCTTATTTATTTTGTGTCTCCCTTAGCACCTGCCTCATTTTATTGTACATGTGTGATGAATAAATTCAAAAAAGACATTCTGATCTCGTGCAATATGCCTGCAATTTGACCTTGACTCTTATTCCTGGCTAGATGTTAAAGAACTGTTTACGCCATTTGCTCCCAGGAAGGATTGACCACTCCTCCAGGAACCGGATATTCATGAACAGAAATACCCTCAAGGACAGTTTTGAGAACAGCTCCTTACCTACAGATTACACATTTATTTTGGCAAACTGCCTTCTTTGTTAGAAGAAACTACTAAAAGCAGGTGGCCCCAACCTTTATCTTCGGAGTCTCCCCTGAGGTGCAGACATGTAGCCCGGGATTTTCCCGTTGGAACTCTGGAGGCTGAAAACCGGGACTCCCCAGCCCATGCGATCCAGATGTAGATGGTTCCCCTGACGGTAATGATTGATTGTGACCAGATTTGATACCGATTGAGACTTAAGTATGTTATTGTTACCTATTGGGACTTACTAACTCTAACTCTGTTCTTACTAACTTACTAACGTTAGTCCTATTTTACTATCTTAATGATACATACTTTTACTATATACTTATACATAAATCAGATTTGAGACTCTGTCATTTAAATCAATCTGAACCCGAAACTAATTTAAGCTGCAGTAAATAAAGCTGCTTAGCAATAAAACATGGAAGTAGTTTAATAAGTATTTGTTGAATGAAAGAATTAGTGAATGAAGTGGAATTAAGGAAAGAATTATTGAACATAGACTATTTTCCATTATTGTTATTTATATGTTTGTCTTATCTTTCCTTACTAGATTATAAGCTTCAAGAGGCAAATGGCAATGTTAAATTTAGTTTTCTATACCATAAAACTCTAGGCATTGTGCCTCAATAAATTAATCAATTACTAAGCATTAATTGAGTGCTTGTTGATTGATTGTATCCCTTTTTATTAAGCAGGAATGGTGGTTAGGGTAGATACATAAAATTTATACGAGGTAACTTTTAGGGGGAAAGGACTTGCAGCTGCTGGGTTAAGAAAGGCTTCCTTGTAGAGGTTATGCTTGATCTGAGTTTTGAAGGAAACTGGGGATTCTAAAAGGTGGAGGTAAGGAATGGATATATACCATCAATAAAGATAATAATCAAAATCCTTTGCATCAAGGAGACATAATCAAAGTTTCAAACAAACCCCTCATCTTCTCTTTAATTTTCTAAATTACTTCCTTGCCTTTCCCCCCACCCCCCAATTAACAAGCGTTTATTTTTCTCCCTCCCACATTTTAACACTTAAATTATCCAGGCTTACCCCTTGTTACACCACTTGGAGTATGATAGGGAGGAAAGATCTGGCAGGAAACCAAATGTAAATGTGTTGATAAAGGAAAGAGGTGAGAACAGGAGAGAGTAGCAATATGAAAAAACAGGAGGCTTTCAGAAGTGATGAGTAGTCATCATCATGTTAAACTTTTTTTTAGCATGAATTTTTCTTTAAAAAAATTCATTATTTTTTAACTTTCTTTTTGTAAAATTTTGAGTTCCAAATTCTCTCCCTCTCCTTCCCAGCCCCACACATTAAGAAGGTAAGAAATGTGATATCACTTACGCATATGAAATCACACAAAACATGTTGTTTAAAAAAAACAAGAAAAATAAAGAAAATGAAAAAAATTATTCTTCCATCTGCACTCAGACTCTATCAGTTTTTTTCTTTGGAGGTCGATAACATTTTTCGTCATAAGTTTTTCATCATAAGAATTGTCTTGGATCATTTCAATGATCAGAATAGGTGAATCACGGGGCAGCTAAGTGGTGAAGTGGATAGAGCACCCGCCCTGAGGTCAGGAGGACCTGAGTTCAAATGTGAACTCAAACCAAATGCTTAACACTTACTAGCTATGTGACCCTGGGCAAGTCAGTTAACCCCAATTGCCTAGAAAAAAAAAAGAAAAAAAAGAATAGCTAAATCATTCACTATTGATCATTGTACAATATTGCTGTTACTATGTATATTGTTCTCCTGGTTCTGCTTACTTCACTTTGCATCAGTTCACATAAGTCTTCCCAGGTTTTTCTGAAAGCATCCTACTGGTCATTTCTTATAGTACCATAGTATTCCATCGCAATTGTAAATCATAACTTGTTCAACCATTCCCCATTTGAGGACTACCCCCTCAATTTCCAGTTCTTTGCCATCTCAAAAGAAAGAGCTGTTTACATATAGTTTCTTTTCCTTTTTCTTTGATCTCTTTGGGATACAGACTAGTAGTGGTATTGCTGGGTCAAAAGGTATGCACAGTTATGAATTACATGCAGAAATATTTCTCAGAATTCACTTAAGTATTAAATGTTGTTTAGACTTTTGGATCATTTTATCCCCTTTTCCAAAGCTTTACTCTAATACTTATTATGTGAGTAAAGCATTTAACCTCTCTGAGTATCCCATAACTTTTTTTTTTCAAACTCTCCCACCCCAACCTCCCTAATCATGTCTGAAAATGTATGTCTTATTTTGCAACTACAGTCCATCACGTTCTGGCAATTTAAGGTCATATTATAGTTGGCATAATTTCAGGGAGGGAGTTCCTACATTTGATGTACAGCATTCCCAAAACAATACGAGGGTAACAGAGAAGAGACACTCATTTCTAGGAACATCTCGCAGCCATTCTGTAGTTTTTTACTATATATCTATACACATACATATGATTGGCTCTTTACATTCAACTAATGTGAAGAGAAAACAGTATCCTTTGTACTGGTTATTTCTCTGGTTTGCATGAAATTAAAATTACATTTCATCAATAAAAATATAATTGAAAATAAAATTATACTTTATACTCTAATGGAGTATAACACACTCCTCCATTAGAACGTAACCTTTGATAGCAGGGATAGTTTCTTTTCTTTTTTTTTTTTCACTTGTATCTCCAGCTCCTATCATAGTGCCTGGCATGTAGATTGTGCCACTGAAAAATGGATAAAACATTTATTAAGTGTTAACCAGGTACTGTACTAAGCATCTTGCTAAGGTGCTAAGGCTAAGAAGTTAAAAACCAGCATTTTTCTGCTTCAAGGAGCTAACATTCAAATGAGGCAAGACAATAAATAAAATGATGATCGAAAGCTGAAGAAAGTCTGGGGTAGAGTCCAATGTTCCTAGTGGCTACTTAAGAAATCACTGTTAACTGATTGATTAATGTCCTTTTACTCTTTGGATTCCCTGCTTATCTACCAAATAGCTATTAGGGACCTGGGGTAGCTAAGTGACTCAGTGAATAGAGCTCTAGGCCTGGAATCAGGAAGATCTAAATTAAAATCGTGGGCAAGTCACTTGACCCTGTCTCAGTTTCCTCATCTGTGAAATGAGCTGGAGAAGGAAACAGCAAACCACTCCAGTAACTTTGCCAAAAAAACCCAAGGTGTCACAAAGAGTTGGACCCAACTGAACAACAACAAATTATGTACAAAACTCTGAGCTGGGTGCTTTGACTAAGAGATGAATAAAATATTTTGTTTGCCAACGTGGGTTTACAATCTAGTGGGGGAAAAGGAGAAAAAAACTGGTGCATAAACATTTATGTATTGAGGATTACCAAATTTCCCTCTCCTTCAAAATCTTTTATATTGCTTTTATATTTATTTATATATTTATAATTATAACGTATAATTAATTATAATTTATATTTATTATATTACTTTTATATTATTCATCTTTTTTTTCTCTTTCAACTCGTTGAATTTGGCTTTCTGTAACACATACTCTGCACTTTCACTCTTTTTTTTTGTTTTTGTTTTTTGGTTACGTGATCAAGGTTAAGTGACTTGCACAGGGTCACACAGCTAGTAAGTGTTAAGTGTCTGAGGCTGGATTTGAACTCAGGTCCTCCTAACTCCAAGGCCAGAGCTCTATTCACTGCTCCACCTAGCTGCCCCCACAATATACTCTGTATAAATGAAACAAGGATTATAAAAATTTATGGCTCCTTGAGGGAGATGAATGCCAATTTATTTGGAAGGTTGGTACAGTGAGCTCAGTGACTTCCTCAGGGCTGTTCAGTGTGTTTTATACCAGGGTCCTATTCCTCCAACTTCCACACAATCTATCAATCAGCATTTATTAAGTGCCTATTATTTGCCAGGCCCAGTGCTAGGCACTGGTGATACAAAAAGAGGCAAAAGACCCTTCCCTCAAGGAGCTTTCTCTCTGCTGGCTTTGGGAGTTGCACTTTCTAGAATTCCTGAAAGAGTTTCTATTTTCCACTCGATTTCTGGTCAGATTTTGGTGAACCTGTAGCCATTTATCTCCTCATTCCTTCTTCAGCACTCAGGCAGAAAGTTGCCGGGTGGAGTCACTATATCCCACCCCTGGACACTCCCAAGTTCCTTCTGACCTTGTTTTCCGCTTCTGTTTTCCTCCCGCCGGGTAAACTACAATGCAAATTACCTCAGGCCTTTTCTAGGAAGGTTTCTGAAATTGAGAGAAAAGAGAAAGATTGAATCAGCTGCTTCACTAGGGCAAAGGGAGATTTTTGTAATCCCTTCCTCTATTTATGCAAAGTACTGTGTGAAAGTCTAACAGGTAACCAGCTCTTCACTTGACTAATGAAAAGTATGAGCTAAACTCAATAGATGTTAAAGGAGAAAAAGAAGAGGATTAGTGTATAGGATCCAAATAGCAGAAATTTCTTTAATTGGGTCTATAAAAAATAGCTATGGAAAACTGCTTTTTGACATCTCCAGAGGGAAATCTTCGATTGAGAGGAACTGGATTTGTTTTGCACGGCTCCATCTAATAGCTAATAGGTAACTGGGTAGGTTTTACACTAGCTAAGCAAATTGTGTGAAGTTCACAGGATTTGGAGTTGGAAGGGGCTCTCAGAGGCCATCTAGTAAAACCCTCTCATTTGACAATTGAGGAA